AGCATCAGGCAGGAGCTCTATCGCGCAGTCATATGGTCGGTGAGGGGGGAGCGAGAGGGCTCGGGACTTACTGAAAACGGCAGCTAGGTTGTGATACTCGGGAGGAACCAATGACAGGTCGAGGGGATCTGGACTGTCACAAAAACTCCCACAATCAGGCTGAGCAGCACGAAGACAATTATCAGAACAGGACAGGCTCCAACTAACTATCCTACCTGCGACCCAATCAATATGGGGATTATGAAGTCTCAGCCATGGATGACCCAGCACCATGGGAAAACCGGAGGAAGGGATTACTTTAAATCTGAGAACCTCCCTGTGGTTCCCTGATGTTATCAACAGGGGGAGTGTCTGACATGTGACAGAAAACAAGAGAGAACCATTCAGACCCTTAGCAGATAATGGTGAACTGAGGGGTTCAATGGGGATGTTAAGTTTCTTAGATAAGTCTTCGTCAATAAAGTTATCCTCAGCTCCAGAATCAATTAAGGCTGTTAATGAGTGGGAAGTTGACTGGTGGCAAAGCTTAACATCAATAAGCAGGCGGCTGGTAGAGAGTTGGGGTTTGCCCGTGCTGCTCACTAGAGTCCCCACCTCTAATGAGCCTTGTCTTTTGGCCGTACAGGGCAGCTGGAAATTCTGTGCCCAGGTTTACCACAGTAGAGGCAGTCTCCTGTTTGAAGACGCCTCTGTCTTTCTGTGGCTGTCAGGTGCGTTCTACCTATTTGCATGGGTTCGTCGTCAGGGGGCGCTGGAGCCTGTGACTGGGCCGGCGGGAAAACAGGGGTGGCGCTGTTGCGCTCCACCGCAGGTGGAAACAGCCGAGGAAGCGCTGAGGCAGACTGGCCGGGTCGCTCCCGGCGTCGCTCACGAAGCCTGTTGTCCAAACGGATAGACATTGTGATTAGTGAGTTCAAGTCTTTGGCCTCATCACTGACGGACAAACCGTCTTTTAAGGCCTCAGTTAAGGCTTGATAATATACTCCTTTGAGCGCCTCATCGTTCCATTTAGTGTCAGCAGCCAGTGCGAAACTCCACCGAGAACTCGGCTGCACTACGGGAGCCTTGGCGCAGCTTCAGCAAGCGTTTTGAGGCATCCCCAACATGATCCGGGTGATCAAACACCGTGCTGAGTTCTTCAGTGAACTGTTTAAAGGTAAGGGAGGTTAACGGTGTGGTGGAGTCAAACGCTAGCGCCCAGGCTAAAGCCTGATCCCTCAGCAGTCCCATGACATAATATATTTTGGATAAATCGGAGGCAAAGGCCATTGGTTGCTGATTAAAAACCATCCGACATTGTAACAGAAAACCCCGACATTTTGACAGTTCACCTGAGAATGGCGGGGGATCGGGAACATACGGACCCCGTGAACTTGCCGGAGTGGGGAGAGCAGGAGGATCGGCCGGTAAGGAGGCGGGTGGAGGAGCAGCTGCAGCAACAGCAGCTGACGCGCCTGACGGTCCTGGACTTGAGGAAAGCGCAGAGGTTAGTTTTTCTACCTGTGAGGCCAGCTGAACGATTTCCTGATGGAGAGATTGGCTGGCCGCTTCTAGTCCAGCGAGCCGATGAACGCTTTGCCCAAGCACGACTCCTTGTCGGCTTATGATGTCCCTCAGGCGGCAGGGGGTTGCTGTTCAGTCTGGTCCATGTGTTTAATTGGTCAGATTGTTCTGTCACGCCCAGGCACGGATGGACACAGGACTGAACAGTGAATACCAAACCAGACGTTTATTGGGAAATTGCTTATTCTTGGTCAGACAGGCCAGGGTCAGAACCGGGAATCCAAATCGGGATCAGGCAGTCTCAGGGTCAGACAGACAGGGGGTCGAAGCCAGGAGGTCCTTATCCAGCGGGGAGAGTCAGGGATCGGGGACAGGAGAGGAATCTAGGTAGAGACAGACAGGTTAGATACTGTGCAGTTAGCTCCAGTTACTACAGCAGGCCTGAAGGTGTTACCGCTGAGGGTTTCACAACAATCTGACGCCGTGCAGGAGGAGTTCCGTCCTAATATGGCAGCAGCTGAGGATCAGGCGGATGCCGATCAGGTGCGAGTGGTCACAGCTCAGCGGCAGCTGTGACAATACGGTGTCAGATTACCACACAGCTGCATGGGTAACATGTTCCATTTTTGTTGCAATTCTTAAACTCTTACAGTTCTTAGCATTGAATGTCACCTCAGATAAAAAGGAAAAATTGAATTCGAATTACTAAATAAATACATACCAACAAAAATAATAACGGTTTGATGATGAAATTTCTGGGTTGCTTTAGAATCGGGGTTGATCCACACATAAACTCTTAGGTTGTTGTCAGCCATTGTCACATCTTGGATCATCAAGGTGCAGTTTCCCTCTGCAGCTTTACCCACCACATAGGTCCTTCCTCTGAACTGGGTTCCACTTGATTAAATCGTTGATCGTATACCACAGGATAATTCATATTGTGGTACTTGTACCAAATGACACGTACATGCCGCTCTGTATGGCACATCACCACAGCACAGCTTCCTTCAACTGCAGTGACTGTTGTTGGCACATGGATGGTCCAACATCTGATCACGTGGAGAACTGGCATGGAAGATGGATCCAATTTAGATTTTTGTGTTCTGACGTATACATTGTTTGTGAAGTAGATTTTTATTTTTAATTTTCTTTAGTACAACTGTCAGCCTAATATAAATGGTAACCAGAATTTTTAGCAGTATGTGAAACATTTTCAGTAAGAAAATGACACAAAATCCCAATTATTATGTTAGATAGTTTATATTTCTGTAAATAAATTTCAGTCATTTGTTTAGATTGCAGCAGATTTAACAACCTCATAACCAATTGGGTTACAATTTGCAGTAATGTCAGTGTAATGCAAATGAATCCAATACTTGAAAAAAATCGGTGTCAAACATAAAATGGTTCTTCAGTACAAGATACAGGTTAAGGTACCACCACTGATGATGCAGAGCAGTCTAAGCAGACAAGCAGGTTCCATGAAGACAGTGGTCACTTTTAGAGTCCTCAAGATCCTAAAACACAATAAATGTAGAAATATTTCAGCAGATCATGTTGACTGGGTCCATCACAATCATTTTTGCCTAGACATCATTTTCTCATGCCACTGACAAAGTTCTTCAGCAGATGTTAAATATTGGTTTAGAGGAGATCGTTTTTAATGTAAGATGATCTGATTTGTAGGATACAACTGCAGCCTTTAAACCATCATTTCATTCACTGCATACATCTACTAGAGCGCTTACCTTGTCAGATGAGCTGCTGTGAATATGTGATGAACCACTTGTGTGTTGCTGCTTTTAAGTCCAGCAGTTTTGACCACAGCCTAATCGCTTGCACGTTCCATCACTTGTAGACTTAAATAAGACCTTCTGCGTCTACAGAAGTTAACCAGAAGAAGAAGACCACCTGAAAAAGAAGCTTTCTTGGTTATATTTTTTGAATGGGTATTTTCTAATAATTAAAAATTAAATCTCACATTTATGCCTGCATTATGTTTTCTATTTATTTTTTTCTAAACAAAAAGCAGACAACTCCAATTTTTTTGGGGAATTTGCTGTGTTCTCAGAAAGCAGCAAGTTTTCATCCTATCAAAATTCATTCTGATCTGTTGTTAGGCAGATAAACCACTGTGATAGTTCGATGATTCTGAGTCTGGATCGAGCCCATTATGAGAGAAGCAGTGAAGTTCAGAACCAAGGTCTTAAATTTAGTTTTGTCTTGATTCTCCTGAAATGTTTTGTGAGTGTCCCCCATTGTGGGAATCCATGTCAGAGCTAGAATATGAGGGACACATGGACGTGGAGCAGAGTTCAGACTCACTGACTCTCCCTCCTTTACCTTCAGTGTGGACTGAGTCAGATTTGGTGAAGAAAAAATTATCTGGAAGTAAAGTTCAGAGTTCATTTTTGTTAAATGATCAGTCATTTTTTTTGTCTTATGATCAGCAAAATGAGTTATTTTAACAGAATTTATCAATTAAAATTCTGTATGTGGATATTTAAGCCTATCTGTAACTTTGAAAATCACTTTCTTATTTGTGAATGTGTATTTTACATTATGCTTACACTCCTGTCTGAAATTATAGCCTTTCTGTGATGAAGCTGCATATTGCTGAAAGTTGAGATGCAGTTTTTTCTTGTTAGGTTTCCTGTTACTGGATTTGTCTCAGTCAGTTGTGAGGCCAAATTTGGACTGAAAACCCATTTAGCTTCACGTGTCACTTAAGTTGCCTCTATGTTCACTACTTATGTCAAAAGAGCAGGGAAGGGTCACCTAGGATCCTGAGAGAATTCTGCACTGACAAAACACTTTGCTGATCATTTCTTATTTAAAATACTGCCACACACACAGGTCCTGATTGTCAATGTTTTAATGTGTACAGGTCAGCAATTTGTTGGCTAAATGAGGATGTTCAAACACAAATTCGATTTTTGTATAAATTGAATTTGCAAATTAATGCATTGTCTTGTTTTAGTTTATATGGCCAATTTAAACGACATGTTTAAATAGTAACGTCGATCAAATAAAAAAGCATATAATCTTTTCAAGAATATAATATAAATCATGAGAAAGATTAGTTGAGGATATGCAGCCCTATGTATCAAATTATGAATAAAAACATAGTCAGCTTTTAAAAATAACATTGTCAATCCCCCTCCACATGGACATTGCAGCCCTCAAATAAAAATGTTCTTTCACTCCAAAATAAATCTTTATGCTTTTAGTCTGCCTTTCATTTGGGACTGTTTCAAAGGCATTGAAACCTGGAAACTTTTAAATACATGTTCACAGTTAAAAATATTTAATTACATTTCAATTATATCAGTTTAAATTCACCTTGCACTAACAATGTAACGAGAAGTAAAACCAAGAGTTCCAGGCATCTTTTTGTTGTGAATGTTGAGCAAATTACAAACTGTCAATATATAAGTAACAAGAACTTATATTTTTTTTCTGGTAAAATGCAGCAGATAAAGAAAGTTCAAAATGTATGTTTTTGTAAAGTTGTTTATTATTTTAACAAATAAGATATTATCATGTATCATCCTGATATTGTAAATTAGTGGGATAATCAGCAGTCATGGAGCAAAGATCCTTAGTTAAAAGCCTGGAGCTAAGAGGGACAGAATATGTTCCATGGGATGTCAGTGCATTACATGGAGAAAAGATCCATGTTATGGACAAACTTAAAACAAAACAGAATTACATGAACTGTCTTTAGAAATCAGCTAACATGGACTGAAGAGAGAAGGAGACAGAGAAAACGACTCTGCAAGCAATGGACATGCAAACATCATGCATAAACATCCCAGCTTGGGTTTTTTGATGTTAAGTTCCAACTTTATATGATAATATTGGCTCCAAAAGTCACACAGGGCTTCACATGCTTTTCAATGTCCAAGTGGCCAAACAAACTCACGTAAAGCATACTCCATTTTAACTTTCCCTGCTTGCTGTATGATGTGTCATTACATTTTTTTTTCTGTTGTGTATTTAGGAAACATTTGAACAGAGAATTTTATGATCCTACATGCACTGAGTATGCACAGTGTAAGTCTAGATGTGTATGCTTGGGGTACTAATGGGTGAATGAAATGAATAAGTGTAAGCCACGAGGACCTTGTTCTTTTTAAGGCCTCCTAGATTTTCAATGTTTAACTTTTATTTCATTTGAGTTTATTTTCACTATTATGTCCAGAGAATGATAATTTACTGAGACTCTGGGGTTTTGGTCCAAAATTTAACCTGAGCATATACAACCTCTGATTCCTTTCTTATTTTTTTAGTCTTATCTTCAGTGTGCAGACTTCCTACTTCTTTTTCACTGCTCACACAATGTTCTTCCCCATTCTCACACTTTTTCTCATTCAAACAAGAGCCATCGGACAGTTCAAGGTTCACGTAAATATCTTCCTCCTTCGCTTTGTTATTTTTTCTCCATTTTGAACGAGCATACGCCACATCTTCACTTTTGTCTGCTGAGCTTTTAGTCATTTTTTCTGGATGATTGGAGCTTAGATCAGTTCCAGTTGAAGGTTCGCGGTTGTCGGCCTGAAAAAAGAAATACAGAATATGAACAACTTCTTAAATTGTTAAATGGCTACTGAAATGGAAGAGAGGCCTTGAAAAACAAAAATATTTTAGAAAAAAAAATAATAATAATTTGTAACAAAGCAATGTCAATATACCGTGGTTTGCTCTTTGGCTCCATGTTGACCTGAAGCAGCTGTGACACTTTTAGGTTTATAGTGAGTCTTCTGAAACCTACAAAAAATGCAGGTTTATTTTTTTGGTGAACAACACAGAGCTGCAAAGAAAGCATAATAGACTTTTCCATAAAAAAACCAAAATACCGCATATCCTACCCAATAACAAGCAGCAAAGTGCATACTATAAGTAGAAAAACTACAACAGTGGCGATGAACAATGGCATCCAGATTTGACCTGCAAAAAAAGTAAGATTACTCTGCTCCATTAAATTTATAATCCATCATAAATTTAATTTGCAAATTTATAGACAAGACATACTTTCATTTTCTCTTGAGTTTTCAAGGCAGCTGACACAAAACTCTTTTCTGGCTGATCCCAAAGAATTGGAGCTGAAGCACTGCAAGGTGGACAGATCCCTGTCCTGTGGTTCATCAACAGTGATGATGCTCCTCATGTATGAGCTATTTACAAAGTCATGTGTAATCACCATCTGGCTAGATTGAATAACTGGTTTTCCGTTCAAGTACCAATGTGTTGTTGGAGACGGGTTTCCTGCTGTTTCACAGGAACAGCTGACTTGATTTGAAGTTTTCATGCATTTAGATGAAAATAAGATCTGTGAAGGAACTGAAAGAAAGAAAGAGATAAAATGAAGATGCTGCATATAAAAATAAATGCTATAATACAAAGATATATTACAAATAATTGTAAAAACTTTAACAAAACATAAAAATGTATTTTAAAATCTTGTTTGGCAAATACGTAAAATGGCTTGATCAAACACACTTGTTTAAGGTTGATAAATGTGACAATTGGCCATAAATCTGATGACAGTCAATTCACTGTTTGTAAAAACAAAATTATGTCACAATTCTTAAGGAGCAAAATTTGATTCGTCTTTTGTCTTTTTTTTTAAATCTGCATTCAGGGAATACCAGATACCAGAGCTAGGTGACTGCATATGTTTGCTGTACAAAAGGAAATATGGGTACAGTACCCTGATTGCATGATTGATTTAATTGAAATGTGGCTTTGTCCCTGGTTGCACAAAGACATATGAACCTGTGTTAATATGACCTCTGACCTTCTGGATTGTACCTGAGTATGTCTTATGTGCATTAAATATCTGGGTTAATTTATCACCTGAGAATATATGTTAACTGAAATTGCTGTGCAACGGTTTTTAGAAGTTAAGATCGAGATCTTGCACACATAATTCAACTGAACCATAATTGGTTGTAGAATTATATTTCGGAAAAACAAGTCAGTCTTGAAAGTGTGCATTAGTTACATTTAATTCATTCAATTTATTTTAATAACCTTTTCAAAAGAGGAACTTCTAGAAGTAGTGTTAGTGCCTTGTAAATTTTATTTCTGTTTGAGTAATATAATTTTGAACAAACAATTTTCTTCAATTTACTAAACAGGTTCCTCTTTCAGATGTTCCTAATTTACCAGGTCTGTCAACTTCCCTCCCCAACATTCAATACCAGGTGATGATTAATTGACCTAAGGTGGGCCCAGGTGCTGGTCACTTACTCTAGTCTCTTTAGGGGAAACCATCTCAGCTCCAGATGGTGGACCATCAGTTGCTGAACCCAAGCTGCTAAACCACAGGATTCCCTAGTATTTACGAGATTCCCTCTTATGGTGGCCTGCCTTTTCAAATTATGAAAATGGATCTTAGTCTGAACTTTCACCTCTTGCCAATAGTGAGATTCATCAAGAGATGGAGCACCAAAAAAAAAAAAAACAGCTCCCAGGATTTAAGTTCTTTACAATGCTGACAAAATGATTAGTTGAAAGGAATCAGAAAAACATATCAAACATGAAGGTTTTCTCTAACTTCATACATACACAGAACATCAATGTGACGGAGGTTGGAACGTTCTTCTCCCAAATCATTTTGAGCCTTGCAGAAAAAAGTCTCTCTGTCTGTAGTTGTTTTAAAATTTAAAATCTTTCCAGACCCGGTGACGATTTCCTGGGCTGCTTTGACTTCATACCAGGTGTAATTCTGCTCTGCTGGGTTGGCATCACTATTGCATGTCAGAGACACGTTACTGTTGTCCAGAATTGGACCAGCAGGACTGACTGAAACTGTGACATTCTTAGGGGAATCTAGAAATAAGAGACATGATACATTGTTAATATCACCACGAATCAAATATTTTTTCAAAGTCTAACTACTGAAGGACATTGACTCTATATTTTCCAATTTTGCTGAAACTGATGAATACTGATGTTTATAGTGAACTTGGTGTTTGTGATCTGAATTGTATACATACACAGAACATCTATGTGAGTGATGTTTGAATATTGTTCTCCAAGATCATTTCCAGCCTTGCAGAAAAAGCTCTTTTGGTTTGTAGACAATATAATATATAAAATCTTTCCAGTTCCAATGACAATTTCCTGTCCTCCATCAGCTCCATACCAGGTGTAATTCTGCTCTGCTGGGTTTGCATCACTGTTGCATGTCAGAATTACATTGCTATTTTCTTGAATTGGACCAGAGGGATTGACTGAAACTGAGACATTTTTAGGGGAATCTAAAAACATAAATATTACAATGTTAACCTGAGCACAAATCAAATGTCTTTACAAAGTTGAAACAGTTGAAGAACATTGACTGGATATTTCCCAATTTTGCAAAAACTGGTAAAATTTGGTGTTTATTGTAAACTTTATGGACGTTTGTGATCCCATTGGATCTGATACATACACAGAACATCTATGTGAGTGATGCTGGAACGTTGTTCTCCAACATCATTTTCAGCCATGCAGACAAAACTCTTTCTGTTCCCAGATACTGTGATGTTTAAAATCTTTCCAATTCCAATGACAATTTCCTGTCCTTCATCAACTCCATGCCAAGTGTAATTCTGTTCTGCTGGGTTGGCATCACTGTTGCACGTCAGAGTCACATTGCTGTTCTCTAGAACCAAACCAAGTGGACTGACTGAAACTGTGACATTCTTAGGGCAAACTAAAAAAAGACAAATGACACATTATTAATATGGACACTAATCAAATATCTTTACAGAGCTGTGACAACTCAAGGACACTTCTGGAAACTTCGTTGTTGCAAATATAATATGAATTGGTGATCTAATGAAGTCTTATCCTTGCACAGAACATCCATGTGTCAGAGGTTAGAAGACTAATGTCCAATGTCACTTTCAGCTTTGCAGAAAAAAAGTATTTGTGCTGCACAAACTTTAATGTTTAAAATCTTGCCCTCCATACAATTATTAATTCTTGATAATAATTAATTTGTATAATTCTGCAATGTTGGTTTGGCAATGGTGCTGCAAGTCATTGTTGCATCACTCGTCTCTAGAACTGTACAAAAGTGACTGCCTGAAACTTCTGTATTTTCAGGGAAAGCCAAGAAGAGGTAAGCAAATTATTTAAACCCTGTAATGTACAGGAGATTCATAGCAGGCATATGGTAAAACATATATGCTAGTATATTGTGAAACTATTCTGAGTGGGGAAAAGAAAGAAAATAATAATTTCACTGTTGTTCAAAATAGAGGGGTTATGAGCACTGTTTCCTTGCAGCAATAATGTCTTTTCAAATGCAGCGGACATGTTCTCCCTGCCTGGGCATGCCTAATTTCTTTCCATGTCATCCTGCACTTTTTTCACAATGGAAAGACAAACATTTTAGGCTGGTTGACAGGCAAGGGATATTAACTAAATCAATAGCATTAAGTGTGTATTTGGGTTTATTTTTATATGTCGAATGAGTAATCCTGTGGTGGACTGATGACCTTTTTAGTGTTTGCCCTTCCTGATAGGCTCTAGTTACTCTACCATGTTTAACTACAGGTTTCAGATTAGGTTTCAAAACTAGAAGATCGACCCATGGTGGGTCAACAGGAAGAGTCGGAAAATTTGGGAACAACGGAAGATCTATAAATCTAAGAAATTCTGTGAATTGTCTAACCATACATTTTACAATGATTATGTTTTTGTATTATTATAATTACTTATGAACTCTTAGTTTGAAAAAAACATCTTCTCAAACTTCATTTTCCATTATTTCTCAGTAAGAAGGTTGTTTTTTCGGTTCCCTGGTCTGATATATGTAGATTGTGATTTGTTACATTTGTTGTGAACTTCTTGAAGCAAGCTAATTTTGATTTCGTAAAGCGATTCTCTACAAAGTTTGATAAATATTAAAAGTTTTTAGCCCAGTGCCTACTCAGGGTCATCCAACTAGGTCAATTCTTCCCATTTGAAAGCTGACTGGTAAGTTGATTTAGCATTTTTGTGTGGTACACTTTTACATCTTATGTTATAGGTTTTGATTGTTTCTTTTTACTCTGATGAAGGTTAAACACCAGCATGTTTGTGTGGTAACAAACATACTAACTTTAGTTTTCTCCACATTTAATGTTTAGTGCATTTAACTATTAATCATGCAGTCTAAATACCATTAGATTCCATCTTAATTTTTAGAAACTAAATAAACTTCTTTAAATGTTGTGTCTAAATCTAAAAGCTAGATGTAAACAAAAACCCTGAGCTGTGATTTTAAAAGAAGATAAAGAAACTTACACAAAACATCTGGAATTAAGGATGTAGTAAAAGCTGCATCAGGGCTTCCATCTTGTTTCTTGTACGCAGCAGTGCAGGAAATGTTCTGCTCATGATGGAGATGAGAAGCAATGAAGTTCATAACAGAGGTCTTGAATTTGGTTTTGTCCAGATTCTCATGCAGTGTTTCCTGAATGTTCCCCAGTGTTGGGGTCCAAGTCAGATTTGGAGGATGAGGCAGACACGGAGCCGGAGCAGAGCACATCAGACTCACTGACTCTCCCTCCTTTATCTTCAGAGTGGATGGAGTCAGAGTTGGTGAGGGAAAATGATCTGGTTGGAAGTTTCAGGACTAATTTATTATCAGTGTGTCAGTAAAATACAATAAATTCAAAGTTAGCTGCCTCAACATAATTTATCCATCAAAATTCTGCATGTGTATGTGAAACCTACCTGTGACCTCAATTTTTACAGATGGTGGGATAAAACTGTATTTTAGATCATTTTTACAGTCGATTCTGAAGTGATAAGTCTTGGTATGCAAAGTTTGCATATTGTTGAAAGTTGTGGTGCAGTTTTTCATTGTTAAGTTTCCTGTTTTAGGACTGCTGTCAGATAGTTGTGGAACATTTTTTGGGGAACACCATATAGCTTCACAGGTGTCATGTAAGTACTGTTCAAATGTCTGCTCTACGTCAAAAGAGCAGGGGACGGTCACGCACGATCCTGTCATAACTTGTACAGTCTGTGGCAATTTAGTTTGAAATTTGTTACAGTTGGTGCCTGAAAAAAAAAATATTCAAAGAAAAAAATGCAGCAATCTTTCATGACTTCAAAAACAGCAATAAGTTGAACATCAAGACTTTTCGCAGTTCATCTTTCATACTGTTACAGTGAAGAGGTTATTGTTGGAAATAGTTTTTGGTTTGTCTCAGATTTTTGCTTTACAACTTGTTTCATAAAAGTTCACACTGTTCATGTAAACACTGTGTAAATATGAGTCATGTTTCCCAGTAATGTGCAATTTATGAAAATTTATGATAATTTGAGTTCATCAACCAATAAAGTTGGAGTAAACAACACACTGAAAGAATGAAACAGATTAAATATTCAGGTATTTAATGATTTTAAAATTGTTTTTTTCAAACATTTGTTTATATGCTGCTAATATAAATTCTCAACAAAATGAGAATTTCTGATGAAGGTTAACATTTACAATTTGATGTATAATTTAAATTATACAGTGTTCTCATGAAAACTCCAGTATTTATTTAATAATTTCATTTGAATTATTCTACAAACACTCCAATCTGGAATGATGTACATATTCAGTGTTATGAAAACTTTAGCAAAGTTTAAATGTAACCAATTAGAAATTCACCTTGTAGTAAAGAGCCGATGAGAAGAATCATCAGACATCCAGTCATGTTTGTTGAACAGATGTCGTGTTTACTCTGCAAACAACATAAACCATTTGTGATCATCTTATTTATGTACTTTAAAAGAAAATTAACTAAATTATCTAAAAAACTAGATGAACTTTGATTTATGTTGTGTCTTTTTACCATTCCGTTTTCTTCTAGTATTTTGAGGCCATGATTTGGCAAGAAGTGTCATTCAGTAGTAAAATGAACCAAAATGGTAAATTATTAAAAATAACATTTCACTACTGCTTTTAAAATGAGAGGCTTCAGAGATGATTTATTTTTTAAGAACACTTAACATTTATAGTGTGTCAATTAACTGACAAAAAAGAGCCAACCCTATAATTTAATTTTAGTGTTTTATGAAATTACTATTGTACAATTAAAATAAATGGAAGAAATTGAAAAAAGAGAGGTTAATGCAGACAAAATAACAGCAACTTCCTAACACTGTCTTAAAACCACAAGTAAATTAAACATTTCTTAATGCAATTTATTAGATTTTAATCTTTCCTTCTAGATATGCATTTGCCATAAAATCCAAAATTCAATTCAAATGTCTCACCTTGTAATTGAAATCCCAAAACTCTTTGTTTTCCTTGTTTGTTTTACCAAATAAGTTTATTCCAGTAAATCCAATTATCAATGAAGATTATGTTAACCTGGTTTAAAAAGCCCTGTTTCCAGCGTGAAGTATCAAACAGACAATGACTTTATGTTTACGCAATCAGTGGAAAAGTCATCTTCCTTAAAAGAGTCCACACCTACTCAGAAGCAGCAGGTACTGAAAAAGAGGTACCAAATTAAACATTCACCATCTGACAATAACAACTTCCCCAGAGAAAAGTAAACAATCCCATCAGATTTGACTCTGTAAACTCACCCACACATCTAGCATCAGTTGCTTATTGATTTAGTGTGCAAATGTTCCATCCCTGACGTAAACCTACTGCTGATTTTGTGTAGACAATATTGTAGCTGCATAACTCCCCCGACTTCCTCTTCCCGCTTCCTTCTGCTTCTGAAAGAATGAGACGTGCTACCAGCTGTCCATCTAACAGCTAAATTGAGTTTCCTAAATCTGCCGAGTATTACCTTGTCCAGAACTGAGGTAAACGCTCCGTAAGCTGGCCTCCATCTGAGTGCCGCATCCTGCTTCCCCTGGTGAATTAGACAGGCTCAGCATCCTGCAGCCGACATGTTTGTGGCCGCTTTTCCTCTTTGTTACAATGTACACTTGTTTCTGAACAAGGTTATTTTTAGCGACTCATCCAAATTCCAAGAATGTTATTGGGCTAAGGCAACCTATTAAAACTTTTTCCACCTTTTTCTCTCCAGAATGAAGCGTCATGGCTATTTTAGAACCGTCAAAGAACTTCGAAGTGTTTTAGATTTTCTTTATGCTAAATATTTTATTAGCAATACAACTTTAAGAGGGTCAGTGCAGCTTAATTTCAGTAGCAGAAGTAATCAAATAAAAATTCATCATCTTATTTAACCTATATTTTTTTAATGCTGACTGAGAACTAAAAGGGAACCTAAAATCTCCTGCATGGGAATAATGGGATGACCTTGGGTTATCTTGACAACAAACATGGATCAAATATTAACCACATAACACATAATGTGTGAAGCACATTTATTACATCATGTTGTAAGTGAACTATATATACTTGTGGAATCAAGCTGCTTTTTGTTAATATCAGTGTCAATAGAGATTTAGCTCACTACAGAAAATTACACAGTCCACTCGAGAACTGAAGACAAAAAACAAAGCATATGCTCATACTCGGAGTTAAATTAAAACCACTATGACTACAAATTGAATTTATGCCTACTGTTTCGAAACACTCTCTACGTTCTGCAATACTGACATCTAGTGGTAATTTCAATGCACCGGAGTTGTGAATGAAATTAACATCTTTCAAATCAGAAGTCTGTTTCATTCATACCATTTTCATTAAACTCATGTTCTCCAAAGCAATCTGAGATTAAGTAGTTTATATAAAATTGAAAGGAGGATGTTACAATAAACATGACCTTTTTCAAGGTCATGTGACACCTTTTTTTCTGTTGTACTGTAAATAATTATTATTCCATGAATTATTCTTTTCATTTTATTTCTATTTGAGAACTTATAACTTCATGTGATGATGTCATTATAGTGATTGATATAAGAAGAGGCTCTCAGTAACATTCAAAGATTTCCACTGTTTTGGGCTTAAATCTGCTCCTCTTCTGGCTCACTACCTCTCCAGCATTAGAGAAGACCCACTGGCAGGGCACAGATGAAACTCAGACTCTCACACAAGTTTTTTTAATACACTCAAAATCACACACGACCACTCAGCCTAACTGTCTACAGTACCTAAACTCAGATTCTCACAGACTTGACTCCATGCACGCAACCACTCAAGTTCGGACTCTAACTATATCTTATGATTTCTTACTTATGCAAATACATGTCCACCTTTTCAAAAATCCACAGTTTGGGAATAAATTCAGTTTCATTTTAAAGCCTAAAATGAGACAAGACCTGTCCATTCAGAATTCCTGCAAATCAGCACATGAGGAGCTGCATGTCACAAGTAGTCCAAGACACCAGAAAAAATGAGGCCTTTTTTAGGAGTGGTCACATAATTTTTGGGATGTTGACTATGCACATACATGTGCAGCGCACCACCACATGTATTTGGCTCCAAACTGTTCATTTGGCTCCAAACTGTGTTGAGTAGGAGGTGTCGAGCAGCACATCACTAATCATATGAACTACTACTTGTGCAAAGCTCCTAAGAAGGGTTGCTAATGCCACAATGAAGTAGCTTTTTAGTGACGATGTGCTGAAAATGTAGCGGTGAAAAGAGTAGAAGCTTCTGAAAGAGATAGAGTCTAAATTCAAGGCAAAGTCAAATTTATTTTAAATGCATGTTTTATATATATATTTACAGCATTTTTTACAACAACTGAAAGTAAATTTACTTGACTGTGCTTAAAATGGCAATGTGTCTAGAAAGCGCATAATACTCCATTTTTAATAAACTGTTATAGTTTGAAAGCCCATAACACAAATCAGATATGTAAAACGTAATGCAATGTTATTTACTTTCATCTGTGTACCTTACAAAGCCATGGATTACAAATATCACAAAATTGTAGAGATGATAAAAAAAGTCTTTATAACATATGGCAAAATAATTTACAGCCCCTGGCCTCTTGAAGCTGTGCAGGCTTCTTTTTGTTATGCAGGGTCAGCTGTGACAGAACACCTTTCTGATTGGCTGCTTGGAGGATGCAAGGAGAGCAGCCACCCCATTGGACCAGCAGAGGATTATCAGGCCAATCAGATGTTGATGAGCCTCACCTGCTCCCTACAAAAGGCTCCTGAAACCTTTTCTCCAGGGCAGCATCTTGTAGGAAGAGGGTTCATACTGTTTCCCACCTTTGCTGTTTACAACTGCTTTGGGTAGTTTTGAACTATTTTATTCATGCTTGTTCTACTAAGCAGTTTCACTTAACATTAGCGAGAAGCTTGTATATGGGAAGCTTGGTGCTGCCTTTGTCCTTTATTTTGGGCTGTTTTGAGTTTACTTTAGACTGGCATGTTTGAACATTTTGTAATTCAATTTGTACTTAATATTCGTGAATTTGTTTGTCCTTTTCTTTTGTTTTGATTGGGTTAAGTTGTATTGTGTTTTGGTTTTGTGAAACCATCTTTTTTGTAATAGATAATTTTACATTCCCCTTATTTTTTCTGGACACATCTTTATGTTACCGTCCCTGAACCCCTAGATCGTGGAGGTGTAACAGACAGATATTGGATGACCAAATTCTGAAAGTATAAATTCATTTACAAATGCTATATTGTATATATATATATACAATATAGCATATTCTGTCACAGCCAAAGCAAACCAGTAAAATGAAAAATCTTAAATTAGCATACAGCATCTTGAACATCTTTAGATATGACCAGTTAATACTACAGTTACAACAGACTAGAGTCAAATTATTTTAAAAACTCATCCTATTACAAACTTTTAAGTTGTTGTTAGTTTGTGGGTGTGTTTACAACTGTTCTTCCTAATTTGATTAAAGGCAGCAAAACATCAGAGCAAAATGTTTTTCCACAGCAGTAAAAAAGCAGGTTATAATTATCTAGCTTATTTTTTCTGTCTCGTCTTCCTTGTGTTGACATAGACGGGTTCTTCTTCTGTGTGTCGTTTCTAAAGTTAAAGAAGAAATATGAACGAAACAAATTAGGCTATTTCAAAAACTACAAATTTTATAAAAAGCATGAAGATATGCTAATATACCTCTTTCTTCTTCTTTGCAACACTATTCTTTAGCTTGTTCTGCTGGATCTTCAGATAATAAGACCTGGAATAAGACATTGAAAGATTTTTGTCAATTTTAATGTTTAGTTGCAATCCCTTAATTTATATATATATATATATATATATATATATATATATATATATATATATATATATATATATATATATATATATATATATAGTAAAACTTAACAGGTTTCCTCTAAACTGCTCGCTTACCTCGTAACAAACAGCAAGACGCAGACTAGAGTTAGTAAGACGACAGTAGTAGCAATGAACACAAACATCAGCTTTTTATCTGAAATACAAATTTGAAACATAAAGATCAAGATATAACTCTGACAGGGCTTATTAAATACACTTTATCCAGATAAATATATTTTCACATCTTTGTCAGTGAAGTCATAGGGAATGATGACATTCCAAAACATTGAAATAAATGCTGAACAAGGGTAGTTCTTATACTAATAGTCATGGACATGCAAAGACGGAAGCAAAATTGGGTTTGCAATGTCACGTGACATGTTTCTATTTATGAGGAGGAATACATTACAACAAGTACTTTGAGCAATAAACTGTTTAACATATGTCATACACAATTATATTAAGTGGGACACTACACATGTATGTGCACTGAGCAAGGAGCAGCTATAAAAGTAACTCATATTATGAGATTACACACCAGCTGTCTGATACTAATTTTAAATATGGAGCTAAGTTTAGTTTCATTAAGCATATCCAGTATTACAATTTAAATCTCTCACCAGTCTTTAAATTCAGTAAATTGATGCTGAATAAATTATTTGTTTTCAAATTTAATTTGAAAATTAGAACATTTTCTCACTGTTGAGTTGCAGAAAACTGTTAGGTAAATACTCAGAGGTACTCTATATTTTTATTTAAACAAGCACACTGCAGTCGTAATAGATACACAGTAATTACCTGCTATGTTATCTATTGTGCTGCATTCAGCACAAAACTCTTTCCTTGCTGTTCCCACAGAGTTGAAGCTATAGCAGAGGAATGATGACAGATTTCTGTCCTGTGGTTCATTGACAATGATGACACTCTTCAGATGTGTACTATTCAGAGTGTCAGTGGAGACAGAAATGTTGTTAGATTGGATAACTTGCTGTCCATCCATAAACCATTGTAACATGAGACTGCTTCCAACAGTTTCACAGGAACATCTGACTTGATTTGAAGTTCTGGTGCAAATAGATGAGTCCAGGATCACTGGAGGAACTGTAAACCAGGAGACAAAACTGTAACTTGAAAATAAGATAAATAAAAATGGCAAAACTACTGCATATGCAAAGGGTCATAGGATGAATAAAAACAGGTGTGAAAATAATCACACAATATTTGTTTATAACCAATATCAATATTGATATTGGTATTATCAATAAATAATAGTACCATTGAAAATATCTTTCATTAATTTAATTTGGAAGGTGAAACTCATGTTAGATTAATCAAACACACCATACTATATATATATATATATATATATATATATATATATATATATATAATATATATATATATATATATATATATTATATATATATATATTAAGAAGAGCCGGATTAACCGGCTCTTCTCCACTCAACCAGCTAAGGTGTACTCTCAATGGCAGGGTAACAATAACAACAGAGCAGACCCACCAAGGCTGGAGACGGAAACAATACTGGAAAGGCATATGGGGAAGGGAGGCGTCCCACAACAGCAATGCACAGTGGCTGATCTCTCTACGAGAGGACCACAGCAACCTCCCTGAGCAAGCCCGGTAACCATCACTGTGACAGATGTCCAAGAAAGAGTCTCAGGTATGAAAAAACTGGACAGCACCAGGGCCTGACATG